GTTTGTTTCTTATACCCTGCACTGATCATGCGCAAAGGGTATGCTAGACCTGGAGCAAGGATCAAATTCATTTAAGTTAGTTTTGTGCAAGTCACTTGGCAACAATATTTATATAGTATTATGATTTATTGACTATTCAAGGCGTAGTCTCTAAGTTTTCGAAATTTCAGTGCCGCAACACTTTACAGGGTATTTGTCGGCGTGCATGGGTAAATGTACAAACGCCAGAGCATTTATAGCTGATTCGTATTTTGGGAGCCATCTTCTACTTAGCATATTCAAGCTTTTTTAACTGCCCAATTATTTTACAGGGTATTGGCTAGTCGTGCATTCAGTCAGTAGAGCTGTCAGCTTACTTTTGCTGTTGTAATTAGCTGCTCAAACATTTCAGTTAAAGTGTTTACACTTTCATTTTCTGCAGCAGCTATTTACAGGGTATTTCTCAGTCGTGCCTAAGGCAGTTAGCGTACTTTGCTGCATTTGCAGCAAATTGTTGCCATTTATAAAATTTAATCGCATGCAAATTGCTAGACTTTTTGCAGGGTAGCTGCTAGTCGTGCATTTGCCTAGACATAAGCAGCATTGTTAAATTTATTTTTTGTCGCGACTTACGGCTAAATTTATCACAGCTATAAAAGGGCTGACGAGCTGATGGACAGCCAGTTGGCTGCTAGGGTGGAGGGTGGCGGGGGTCAAGCTTTAATTTGAGTCGACTTGTTGGTCAACAAAGGGGGAGTGGGGAGGGGGGGGGGGAGCGGGGGCAGGCAGTCGAAGCGTCGCTCGCGTTAATTACGCGACTTTTGCTGCGGTCGACCATTTGCTGATTGCAGGACGTCGTCGTCGCCGTGTCAGCAGCGCTGTCAGCAGCGGCACGCACGACTGCCGGCCGTCCAGTGTGTCCGGCGTCCGGTGTCCGGTGTCTGTGCAGTGTGACCAGGCTTAGAGGCAGCGCTGCGCCCGCCCACTACAGTTAGTCACGCCAATTTTATTGCATTGCTCGCACGACTCTTGGCCCAGGCGAGGCAGAGTGGGCGGAGCTGTGACTATCAGTCGCAACAATGGCGGACAACAACAGTTTTCGGATTTCAAGCGGAACAATTAAGTTAACGATCTGCGGACATGAGGAGCCAAGTGACAGAAATCGTGTGCCGAAGCGCGCGCCCAGCCACGTGCGGTTCAAACGCGCGAACGTGTTTGAAGCTAACGCATTGCCACGCCCATCACGGCCATCACGCCCATCACGAACGCCATCGGTACGCCTCGATTTTAAATGCAGCTGCGGCCGCCATGCTTTAAATGCCAGGCTTTAAGCCGCACCATGCTCTGGACCAAAATGCCTTCAATTAGCCAAACGCCAAACTGATTAAATAAATTGCCATATTATGTGTGCTCAGCAAGGGGGCGGGGGGGGGGGAGTGTGTGTGTAGGGGGTTAGGGGGTAGGGGGCGAATATGTAAAACCAGCTGCTAAGCAAAAGTCAAATAGAATAAAAAGCATCAGCATGTCGCCTAATAAATACCCTTAACCGGTTGATCCAATCAATGTGATAAAATACTTTAGATTCGGCTGTGAATTGAGACCGAAGAGGAGAAGTGAGTTTTGCGAAAAGCGTGAATCTCGTCCCAAATGAGTTTTCAGTTACATTACATAAGTTAACTATAGTAAAGAATGCAGCTATCCAGCTCTTAGAAATTGTCGTGTGTATTGATCGCCAATCAGTCAGTCAGTCAATCAGCAAATCAGTCAGTCAATCAGCAAATCAGTCAGTCAATCAATCAATTAGTCGACCAGTCGGTCTATTGGTCATTCACTCAATCAGTTAAGCAATCAATCAGTTCTTTAGTCCGTTAACTTGTCAGTCACTCAATCAGTCATTCAGTCATTCAAGCAATCAATCAGTCCTCCAGTCCCTCAATCAGTCAAGAAGGCAGTCAATCACCGTGTCTGCCATTTCATCAGTCAACCAGTCAGTCAGTTGATCAATCTGTCTGTCAATCAATCAGTCACTCAATCAGTCAAGCAATCAATCAGTCCTCCAGTCCGTCAATTGGTCAGTCTCCATCATCAGCCCCTCAATCACTCTAGCAGCAATTTGATCAGGTTGCCAGGTTGTCAGTCAGTTGGTCTATCTGTCTATCAATCAATCAATCAATCAGTCAGTGAAAGCTAAACCAAATAAAATATAGGTTCGTTTACGCCTGGGCCTTAGCTCAGAGTTGGCTTCAATATAAAATGGAATTTGAAATTTTGAGGCTCGAACCGGCTAGCTTCCAAAGAGGTTTTCTGTCTTGAATCGAAGCATGTCGGAGCTTTCAATTTGTGAGCTCAGATCAAAATACTTTTACCACAGATTAACCCCTTTAGTCAGCTATAATAAGTATAAAGTGATGCAAGGCGTCAAATTTCGATCTGTATTGCGGCTGCAGCAAAAAAGGGTTTATTCGCACCATATTCTCCCAACTGTCGACAAAGTTCCAGTTCAAGTTGTATCACAAATTTATAATATGCTCAGCTATACCCTCGACTGCAGGCGTGCCAGTTGGGCAGTTGGGCGGTTGGGTGTGGTTAAAAAGGGGCGTGTCTGGCTTTGCAAGAATTGGACTTGAAAGTAAACAAAGTTTTAATTTCCTTCAATGATTTCTCTGAGCATTTGTTTTTTGAGGGGGGAGGGGGAGCAAAACCACTCAGTCAAGTGGCAGGCGAATGTGTGTGTGTGTGTGTGTGTGTGTGTATGTGTGTGTGGCGCAATGCTTAGCATCATAATCAAGTTAGATAAATCTAAATCCTTTGCGATAAGCGTCTAAAGAATAGACCCGTCGGACCATTGCCTTTCCGCTGCTCCCACAAAAGTTTCAGCTGTGTGTATGTGTGTGTGTGTGTGTGTGTGTGTCAGGGGCTGGCTTGTGGGCGGGGCTGGGACAAGTTGGAGCTACGAATTAGAGCGCTCCCTCAATGCCGTTGCGAGTGAATAGAATTTGTAATTTCCGTATTCGTTTTGTATGCTAACCCATAGCCTATTCCCATTCCCCCCTACCCCCCCCCCCCTCTTCCACCCTTTTCCCCTCGCACTCACAGTGCTGGGCTGAGCCTGCAGCACTTTAAGTGATGCCCGCTCACAATGAAACTGTTGAAGCTGCAGCATCCGAAGCTGCCTTTAAGGCCGGCTGCAGTTCAATTGGTTTCGGCCCGTCGGAGCCAAAAGCCAAACAGCCAACATTCCGGGCTGACCCGAAAGACAAAAAAAAAAAGGGGGACAGATGAAGAAAAAACAACAAAAACCGGTTACGGATTTGGATTTGGCTAACGGTTCGGAATATGACGATGAATGCCACTAAATTTTTTTCTGCTGCTCCTCTCCGCATGCATTTAAAGATGAGAGAGGCGAGAAAGAGAGATAGAGAAGGAGAGAGGGAGAGAACCATTTTCCATTTGCATTTCAAGTGAAACGTAAAAATTGATGGAAATGTGTACAGGGTATGCTGCACGGGGTATATGGGCTGCACTGCACCAAATACCTTTGTGCACGAAACGGGGCCCATTCGGATCGAATGGCAGCGTGTGATAGCAGCGATAAGCAGCTGACCAAAAGCAACGCCTCCAATGGTAACAAAGCGCTGACATCAGCAGCACGAGCCAAAGGCTTTGAGCCAAATGAAAACCAAACCAGGGCTGAGAGCCCCAAAAAACTAGACTAGAGATGCGAGAGCTTTGGCTAAACAGCTGAATGCGATGCATCCAGCTTTACAGATCTGCCAACCTGCCCCGTTTCATTAACTAAAGCAACACAAATGGCATCAATAAATAAATATTGCAGACCTAACCCTTTCATAATGCTCATAATGCCTTGCCCGTAACTAAGAAGCACAGGAAAATTAGTTAATGCCGAGTATGGTTAAGATATCTTGAAAAGCAAAAACTTTTTCCATACAATAACTTAATTTTCGACCGATCGTTCCTATGGCAGCTATATGATAAAGTGGTCCGATGTTGATAGGATTTTGTATATATATAAGGAGCATGGTAAAAATGATAAATGCCGAGTTTGGTTCAGATATCTTGATAAACAAAAAAGTTTTTCATACAAGAACCTTCTTTTCGACCGATCGTTCCTATGGCAGCTATATGATATAGTGGTCCGATGTTGATAGGATTTTGTATATATATAAGAAGCATGGTAAAAATGATAAATGCCGAGTTTGGTTCAGATATCTTGATAAACAAAAAAGTTTTTCATACAAGAACCTTCTTTTCGACCGATCGTTCCTATGGCAGCTATATGATATAGTGGTCCGATGTTGATAGGATTTTGTATATATATAAGAAGCATGGTAAAAATGATAAATGCCGAGTTTGGTTCAGATATCTTGATAAACAAAAAAGTTTTCCACACAACAACTTAATTTTCGACCGATCGTTCCTATGGCAGCTATATGATATAGTTGTCCGATGTTGATGGGATTTTGCATATATATAAGGAGCATAGTAAAAATTATAAATGCCGAGTTTGGTTCAGATATCTTGATAAACAAAAAAGTTTTTCATACAACCACCTTCTTTTCGACCGATCGTTCCTATGGCAGCTATATGATATAGTAGTCCAATCCAGCTGGCTCCGATATATGTTCTGCGTGCAATCGAAAGAGGCACTTTTGCGAAGTTTCATAAACATAGCTTTAAAACTGAGAGACTAGTTCGCATAGAAACAGACAGACGGACAGAGGGACAGACTCGGCTGTTGAGACTGATCATGAATATATATGCTTAATGGGGTCGGAGATGTCTCCTTCTATGCGTTACACATTTAACGACAAATTTATAATAGCCTCTGCAAGGGTATCAAACGGGATATTTAACTTTAAGTATATGTCTTAAATATTCTAGCTAGCATTCAAATTAGACTGGAGGCAGCTCAGGGTCTAAGGACTTCTAGTTGGATTGCTACTTTTCCAATGGGAATTATTCTATATACTTTTCTGGCTGATGTATACGAATATACTTACTTCTTAAGCGGGAAATAGATTTCAGTACAAACGGGTTTCAGCTCGCTCTCTCTCTCTCTCTCTCTCTCTCTCTGTCTCTCTCGTTCGCTCCTTGCTGCTCTGGCCCGCTTGTGTCTGGGTGTATTTGCTTAGTTGGGCCGTCGGCGTTTCCGGCGGCGATGCCAGGCGATGTGACTGTGGCTGAGCAGCTGGGCTAGCCGGGCGGCGAGGAGGCGCGGATATCGCCACTCGATACAGCTGGCAACGGCGATGAGGAGCATGGCATTGAGGCCGAGCGCCAGGCTGGCCGCCGAGGAGCCGAGATTGCCCTTGGTCAGCTGATCGGCACAGCGTCCGATCGCATCGATATCCAGTTCGCTCATCACCCGTCCGTTCACCTCCAGCGGCGAGATGCAATAGTTCTTCTGCAGAAAATCGCTCAAATTGTGCGCACCCTCGGCCAGGGGCCCGTCGAGCAGGGTGTGTATGTGACAGCCGCAGGGGAAATGATTGTTCAGCAGCTGCAAATGATCGACGCCATCGACAATGATGGCATTCGGATCGGGCGTCTCGAGCACATGATTGCCATGGAACTTGAGATGCTTGATCGCCGCCGTATTTGTAAAGTTGAGCTCCTCAATTGAATCGATCTTGTTGTTCAGTATCTGCAGCGTCTCCACCTGGGTGAGCCCCGTAAAGGCGTCGGCACAGATGACGCCCAAATCGGATTCCTGCAGCGTCAACAGCAGCACATTGGACAGGCCGCGAAAGGTGTACGGCGATATCTCCTTCAGATCCATATAGGCCAGCTTGAGCAGCCCGACCGCATCCATGCCAAAGAAGGCGTCCGGCTCGATGCACCTGATGCCCGATGGCAATATCAAATGTCCCACATTCGTCAAGCTGGAGAAGGCCGAACTCTCGATTCGTATCAGCGGATTGTTGCTCAACAATATCAGCTTGATGTTCGAGGTGCCCGCAAACGCGTTGCCCTCGATCCGCTGGATCTGATTGTGGCTGAGCAATATGGTCGACAGATTCTGCAAGCCCGCGAACGCGAACTGCGCCACCATCTGCAGCGGCGTATACTGTATGGATAGCTCACGCAGCCGGGGCAGACCGCGAAACGCGAACTGTTTTATTCGCGTTATATTGTTGCCGTCCAGCGAGAGCTTCTTCAGTGCGCGCAGACCCGAAAACGAGTCCGGCTTGATGATTGGGAAATTGTTTTTCGTTAGCGCCAGGTTCTCAACGCTTGCCGGCAGCTGGCGCAGCGGTATCTGCTCGAGTCCGCCCGTGTTACACAGCACCTGCCAAAGAAAGGGAGGGGGATGGGAGAGATAGAGGGGGGGGGGGGGGGAGATGTGTTAGTCAATTGTGTTGCGAAAATTGAATTTGCGGCTTTATTGCTGCAAATAAAATTAAATCGAATTCTTTTATTTCTCTCTCTCTCTCTCTTCATTTTTTTTTGTCATACTCTGTGCTAAATCCAATATCGGGTATGCTGCCTAATTGTCTGTCGCTCGCAGAGGCATTGCCGATTTTTTTTTATCGATAACTTTTCCCGTTTCCAGCCAATCGATATATATCGATATATGGAGTCTAGGCTCTTGGGGTGAACTTCTATTATACAAGCTACTGTCAAGTCTTTCTGGCAGTTTACTCACTTGACATCTCTTTAAATTCGATAAATATCGACTTACTGCCAACCCTTTTGGCATACCTCGCAAAGTAGAGCAGCAGAAGGCAGGGTATACGCGCCATTTAGCTTGCCAGTAAATAGTCTTGGGCTTTATTTATAAAAAAAAAAATGTTTATAATATGCAGAATAAGTTAAACACTTTTTTCGATTAATTTTGGAACTATGGAATATCGATAAATATCGATAATTAAAGCTGCATGTCGCTAATTTTGAGTATGGACTCTTGTATTTGATATCTAGGAATTCAATCTACACGCCAAGAGGCGCAGTCGAAATGTATCTAAACATATATAAACTAAAGTGTTTCTAGGCAAAGTTTAGATGTGTTTATCGATAAATTAGCTAATTCTTGAAAATCGATAATTATCGACAATCACTGCGGGACTTTTTAAACCGATGTTTGGTAAATTTTACACGCCAATAATAATATATATAGGCAGATAAACATAATAGGAATATATATATGTGTGCAGATATGCTTGTACATATACATATATATATCTATCTATATAATATCTAAAAGAACTAAAGCCTCTGAAAAGCCATACAAAAGGAGTCGGACATTCATATATATATTATATAGATAAATGCATAAATATACCTGGATATATATAATATCTACATCTATCTATCGATCTATATATCTATATAATATCTATATCTATCTATCTATAACATATACATTATATATATATGTATGTGATATTTATAGGATTACCCCACTCCCTCTTCCTAGAAGTCTAGCCTTGCTATTTCGGTGTACACACACACACACACACACACACACACACACACACACACACGCAAGAACAGTCGCTGTGTGTCTAGGGTATCTGCTAGTCGAGCACGTTATGCGGCTTGTCTATTGCTCTGCCGATGCTGCTGCTCCTGCTGCTGCTGGTGCTGCTTCTTCTGTTTTGCAGCTGCGTTTCATTTGTTCGTTTTTTTTTTTTTTAATCAACCCCGCTTGGCTTCTCTAGCACTCCCCCTGACCCCCCCCCCCCCCCCCACCACCCCCTTCACCCCTCCACCCACTCCGCACATTGTTTTGTGTGTGTTTTGCCTTTGGCCGCGCATTTCGCGTCTCGTCTCTGATTTGCGCTTTAATTTTTTATAACTATTATGTGCTGATGTGTGCGTTCGTACAGAGGGAGTCACCCCCCCCCACCCCCCTACCCACCCAGCCCGCCTCTCCCCCTCGTCTCCGCCAACACATCATCCCGCTCGTCATAGTCATCGCAACAATGTCTAGCTCTAGCCAATCCTCCTTATCTATTCCTCCTTCTGCCCCGGCCATCTGTCTATCTGCCGTCGCGTCGCGTCGCTTCGCTTGTCGCTGTCACGTTGATGTCATCGTTGTCTGTCCCCCCCCGCGACCCGTTCCCCGTTCCCCGTTCTCCGCCCTAGCTGAGTTGTCCTTCGCTTTTACTGTCCATCATTGCATACCCCTCTATCCAGGCGTTAGCCTCCATCAAGACATATTCCATTAATATTTCTTTTAAACTAGCATAAATATGTATATATTCTCGATCAGTAACAATATTCCGTCTGGTCGTAATCGAACGAATCGAACGAATCGAACTCCTGTTTTTCAACAAATCCGAACAAAACCTGCTGCTGATATATGTGAATAATCCAATTGAATGTCAGACAACCTGATCACATACATAGTTCCTGCGGACACAAGCGTACCTAAAGGGATTTCAGCTTCTGCCATGTGAAGCGTATTTAATTTTCGGTGCTGCCGCAGAAGGCAGCAAGCTTTGCTTGTTATTTGTTTTGTTTGCGTTTTTTCTTTCTTGATTCTTTCTGGTTTCGATTTAATGAAATTTCGTATTCGCAACAGCAAAATCAGCGACACATTTTTCAGCTTTGCACACTTTTCACGCGCCGCGTCACGGCTTTAGGTTGAACTCGAATTGGCCTCAAAGTAGGCAACACCTGACCTGCAAGTACAACGAATCTTAACTACAGCAAGGACTTTTTTTTTTTGTTTTTCTGTTTTTCTGTTTTTCTGTTCTTGTTTCATTTTAATTTTTCGGGTCTTTCTTGCCTCTGACGGGTTGTTGTCTTGTCGAGTGCTGAGTAAATCATTTCATTGTTCATAATCTGAAATAATGAAATCACTTAAGTTCTCAATTTGGTAAAAATGACGATGCCAGCAGCATTGCTGCTGAGCGCTCTCGGCCCCATTGGTAATAAGGATGCGCATTAACCGAGGCGAGGCGAGGCGAGGCGAGGCGAGGCGAAGGGGAACGCGCGACGAGGCGAGGCCTACTGCCTACTGCCTGCGCCTGCAGCTGGCCGCAAAATTCTCACGGGAGACAATTGAATACGAGGCTGGCAAACACACACACACACACAAAAAATAAAGGTCTGCAACAGTCGAGAGCAGCGCACTGGCAGATACCCTATAAAGGGTCGTTGGGGCGTTGTTAAAGTCAACATTTCGAACAGAGAGGTTACAAAACTGAGAAACTCTTTTTTCCAGACGCAAGGCTCAAGTGGCTCGTGTAGTGTATGGGACGTAGTTTCAAGATAATGGGATAACAAAAAAAAAAACGTGAAATGTGCCTTGAGAGAAACTAAATTACAAATTTAATATACGTAGCTCTTTTAATCTCTGAGATATGCTCAAAAAACGTGAACTAAATTCGATAAAATTCGAATACAGATTGTTATCGAAATTCGATAGTTATCGGTTTAGAATTTAAGAGAAGCTAAACTTAAAATGTTGGTATATGTTGCCGCTGAACCTGTAATATGCTCAAAACAAGTGGCGTGAAATCGATAGGCATCGATATTCGATAGTTATCGATTTTGAGCAAGTGGCAGCTGTTATCGAAAGAATTTAAGAGAAGCTAGATTCCGTTAACGTAGCTACTGTAATCTCAGAGATATGTTCAAAACGCGCGGCCTGAACTCGATAGGTATCGAAATACGATAGTTATCGATTTTGAGCAAAGTGTGAGCGGCTTATCTTTGTAAATCTATGTAGCTCTTCGTATCTCTTAGAAATGCTGAAGAAAAGCGGCCTGAGCTCGATAGATATCAAATATTCGAGAGTTATCTAGTTCGATAGTTATCGATTTTGAGCAAATGGCAGCTGTTATCGAAAGAAATTAATCAATGTAAAATCCTAGCTATAAGAGTCTCTGGAATCGTTTATATTGCCCTAGCTCGTCGATCCGATCAAGAGTATATATCGAGCCATCAAATCGATAGTTATCGAAGGTGTTATCGAAACTAAATTGCAGCCCTTATGGTCAAGTCTATCCATATAGTTCGTTGCTCCGATCAGCCATGGATATTAACGTGCCGTATATACCCCGTGTTATGAGCCATGGTTACAGGGTATGAAAAGTAAGAAACGGCACTGGGGAGACGGACAAACGGACGCACGAAGCGAATGTAACAAGTGGAATGCGCCTACCCCCATCCCTCTCCACCCCCGGCCAAATCCCCTTGCCCCTCCCCCCTCCACACCGGCCCCTTGCCAGGTTATGCCCAATGTGCAGTGTGGATTTGAAACAAAGGGAAATGACCATTTTTCCCAGCATTTTCGATTTAAGTTTTTGTTTTTTTCTTCGTGCTCATCACGGGGCGCAGAAAGCAGCTGTGCGCGAGTGTGTGTGTGTGTGTGTGTGTGTGTGGCAGGCAAAGAGTCTGACCAGGCCGGGGATCCCCCAGACGACCTCTTTATAGGGCAGCAGCTACAGTTTCCTTTGCTTTAGCTGATGATGATGATGGGGATGGGGATGTTGCACAGAGCTACAGAGCTAACAACTATGAAAACTACAAGTGGAAACAACTACAAAGAGCAGGCGAGAGAGAATGAGAGAGAGAGAGAGGGAGATAGGGGGAGGGGGAGACATTGTTAAGCTTACTTGAGTCTGGGACAAGCAGATGCACTCGGCTGGGCATGATTTGGATGTTTCGGTTTGTTGCGAGTTCCACAGGCAGACAACAGTGAGCGCAATTATGAGCAGCAGCCAGGAATTGCACATTTCACGTTGTTGCTGACACGACAGTTTGGCGGCGTAATTGAGCTCGATTCTCTATCTCGCTTGCGCGCACACACTGCCAACAGACGGACGGACGGACGGCGGGACGGACAGACGGAACGGCCCAAGTGCTGCTGCTGCTGCTGCTGCTGCTGCTGCTGCTGCTGCTATTTCCTCTTCTTCTTCTACTTCTTGGTGCTGCTGCTGCCGCTTACTTATTTATGTTTTTATATTGCGTTATTTCATTTGAACTTTCTTTTTATATATTCTTTAGCTTAATCATATTTATTTATGCTTCTGCTGCTGCTGCTGCTGCTGCTTCCAGTGGTGTCACTCCTACACTGCAAAGAGAGAGAGAGAGAGAGCGAGAGAGAGAGAGAGAGAGAGAGAGAGCGTGAGTTAGTTTAAGATATGACAATTGTGCGAGTTTCATTTGCAGCTGCCAGCTGCCAGCAATGCGACATTTAAAACTTATGACTTGCTAAAAATACAGATAACTATAATATATATACCTAAACACGCGCAAGGCCTACACACAATAAAAGAGAGAGAGACACAGAGAGAGACACAGAGAGAGACACAGAGAGAGAGAGAGGGGAAGAGAGCGAGTAACGACTGGCATGCAAAATTGATGCGCAGCCCAACAGCTGTAGACAGCGACGGGCTGTGTTTTGTGAGGGGTTTGGGTTGGAGGAGCCCCAGTTAGATCGACAGTTGGCATGAACCAGGCACCTGGCTGCGGCTCAAAGCCTCTGCTCAAGCTCAGTGCTTAGCTGTTAAGCCCATTGCCCCAAAACTCCACACTGGACGCTGCTGGGCTGGGCTGGGCAAAAAGGCAAAGGCCGCATTGCCGCTGACGTTGATGTTGATGTTGTTGGCTTTGAGCCTGGGCACTTGGCTCCGGCTGCCTGGCTGCCGGCCTGGCAGGCTGTCAGCTCCTGCTGGCTTGTCCAAAATAGCTGCTTGTTAATCTTCAATAATAAATAAGTAATGCAAGGTGGACGTCAAGTTGCAGCTGCCTGCAAAAACCGACAACAACAAGGAACAAAGCCAATGCAATATAATAACTAAAATTGCTCTAAAGAGAATTTGCGATGAGGCGTCGCTGCTGCAGATGGCGGTTGGCGAGCGGCGTCGAGCGTTGGGGTCGATAGGGGGAGGGGGGAGGGGGAGGGGGAGGGGGAGGGAGCGGGTGCTGTTTGAAATGTTTAAATGCACAAATCAAAATATGCAAGCAGCCAAAATGACAAACAGGCAAACATGCACCTGATGTCCAGCTGAGCTGCGTACTGGCTTTTAATTGAACACTGAGCAAAGGACTAAGCTAAATGCCAGACATAGACTGAGACACACACATACACACAATGCAGTTGTTGCACAATGAATGTTGAAGCGGGCAATGCGCAGGTGGAAGGTTAACAAAATGTTTGTGTCAGCAGACACAACAATAAATATGCACAGGCATATAAATGCGTGACAATATAATTGAAGCGACGGCAAATATGGCTGCGAGCGCGTGTGAGCGAGAGAGACAGACAGCAAGTTAGCTAGCGTGCGTTTAAAGCACAAACGTTGCGAAGCTGGGGAGTGGGAGCGGGAGCGCTAGTAGTTAGAGCCGATCTGCTGGCATTCATAATGTAAAGCATTTGGCATGATGGCCGCTGGCGGAGAGTGCGCCAGAGTGAGAGTGGGAGAGAATGTGTGGAGTGTAGAGTTTTGATCTGCTGTGAGTTGAAGCAGCAAAGAGAGAAGAGAGCGTATGTATGCATGTGAAGAGTGGAGACTGCGCTCAGTGTAGGGAGCGTGTAGATTTAGTTGTTGTCCGCCAGCTGGCGGCCATCTTTGTTAATCACGCTCATCAGTTGATGGACAGTAAATAGCTTAAGAGTGAGCGAGAGGCGTTCTGCTATGCTGATCTGCTGTCATTTGGACCAGAAGGAAAATAGGGGAGAGAGAGAGGGAGAGAGAGAGAGCGCGCGCAAAACTTTAAAATGTGTGCGTGTATTTTTGTATGTTCTACGCTGACGGCCATCTTTGTCACGCAGCATAACATCTTGCCAGCACTGGGAAAACCCTTGCAGTCGCCGTGTGCTGTGTGAGTGTGTGTGTGTGTGTGTGTGTGTGTGTGTGTGTGTGTAAGGTGGCTGCAACTGAAGCTATGTGCCCACGAAATCAGTGTGCTGAGGAGGATGCGCTGCGACGCACGCGACGCTCGACGCTTGGCGTACCTCACACAATCGCATTACGTCCTGATCTAAAGGGATAAAAGCTAAATAACAAATGCCGGCACAAGCTCAAATAATGCACAGACAATTGTGAAAGCAGCCAGAGACAGCAGCTACCTTAGCTGTTGCAGCCAAATAGCAAAAGCAAAAAAAGGACTCCAACAACAACAACAACAACAACTGCGCTGGCAAAAGGAATCACAAATGTGGCAACAAAAGCAGACACCAGAAAACAGCTTAGTGCAACAGCAGAAGCAGAAGCAGCAGCTGCAGCCAGTCGAGTTGCTTACTGCATGCGATATGTGGCACAGATAACAGGGCGCGGGGTCGAGAGAGAGTGACTACTTGGGCAGCTAATCAATCAATTTTACTCAACATTCTATTGAATTAACACAGTCGAAGCTGGTTGCAGGCATTGCCTGTGTCTAGCCGAGCTCAGCCGCAGCCTGGCCAGCCAAATAGCAAGCAGCAGGGCTTTCTTATCGTTTGGCTGTGTCATCGTTTAAGCCAACATTATAGCCCCAATTAGTAAATAGATTTAACATTGCAAAACACAATGCAATATTTATATGGCCGGCTATCAATCACAGAACATATGCACATAGATAGGATAGATATTTAATTCATGCAATCGTCAACAAACTGACTAATTCAGTGGAAGGACACGCATTAAATTTCACACATACAACTGATGCGATTTGCTGACCTATTTCGTATTTTCATAAAATGTTTTGGTTTGCCTTCGGTAATTAATCAATTAGAGCGCACGAAATCCAAAACCTAGAGCTGGCCAAATGAAATGAAATTAAAAAAAATACGATAAAGTACGGATATCTACGGCAAGTCGGAAATTTAATATACATACATATATGTGTGGGAAGAGTAAAGCTCGCAAATGCTGAGCTTGGTGAAAATAGAAAATAGAAATAGATAGAAACTCAGTTTGCGAATAAGTTGTGTTAATTTCGATGAGACTTGGCTCATATAAGTTAGCCAAGCAGCAGCAGTTGCTGAAGATATCTGGGCAAGCAAAATAGGTCCCCAGACAAGAACCTACTCTTCAAAATATCCTGCCTATGGCAGCTATATGACATTGTTGTCCGATCCGATCCGACACAGATTGCGTGCAACAAAGTTCCAGACTAAGAGACAAGTTCGCCAAGAAAAGGAAAAGGGAAAGGGACGCACAGATGGAACCGGCCATATCAGCTCGGCTGTTGAGGCTGATCTGGAATATATATATATATATATTTATATCTAGAATATTATCTGTCATTTCGTCTGCTGCTGGTGTGTTCAAGACCTAATTAAGACTTTCTCTTTTGTGACTGAATATAAACTGTGTTCTATGTATATGCTGGAGCTTGATGTAGATCAGGAACTGCATAAGCCTGGGATGGGAAACACAGTTGAATGAAACTATTCTCTCTTGAATACCCTATCTATATATATATATATATATATATATATAGATATAGATATATCCTCCCATGTGCCTAGACGCTAGAAGCTAGAAGAAGACACCTGATATTAGAAAAACTCTGAATGAAACTTTTTTTGTTTTATATTCGATCGAGTTCTAGGATTGTATTTGCGACAGTTAAAGTTGCGCTTATATTTTAAAGTTGAACCAAAAAAGAGCAAAGAGTTTGGAAAATGTGAGAAAGACAACTTAAGAATGCAATGAGAAATGCTTTGCTGGCCAAAGTTTGTTAGCCTTTAAGGGAAGCAAATTAGTTTGTTTTGCTTAAAATGCTGCCCAGTTTGAAATTAAACCTCAGACATTGAATGTATGCAATTGCATGCACATCAAAAATGTCTTTAAAGAAGTTGAACAAACTGAAGCCACGTCAATTGAGCGAGGCCGAGCCGGATAATCGGGCGGGACAATGATATCTGTGCGATGTGTGAGCTCATAAGTTAATGTCCGCTTCACGAGTCAAATAAATATCGTTAAACAGATAAGGCTAAGAAGCCAGCAAATAGAATTATTTTTGCCACGCAGCACACAAGACCGCAACCACAACCGGAACCAGAACGTTGGCCACGACGGACAAAGGACAGGGGACAAAGGACAAAGGACACGGGACAGGGAACGTTTGTGTCGTTTGTCGCTAGTTGCCGGAGCCACATTCAATTGCTGCCAACTGGCACATGTGTGCCTGCTGGAGCGGGCGGACGCCACCTGTAAGGACCTGCGGCCCCCAAACACGCAGCTGGCAAGAAAACTGGCAGAGCCAAGTGCTTGACCACAAGCGAGTGCAGCTCGCTCTGGGCCGGGCCATGAAGATAATTTAGAAAACCGCACAGAGCACACTGGCTGGCTGCAGTTCCTGCTCCTCCTGCTGCTGCTCCTGCTGCTGCTGCTGCTGCTGCTGCTGCTGGTGGCCCATCAGTCAATCAGCTGGCGCAGATGGGCAGGGCAGAATGGCCGGGCACTTAGTTAAGGCTGACCCGCACCCGACTTAAATTGGAGAGCATTAGTGAGTAAGTTTTGTGGCTGCAATTGAAAAACGGGCTGAGCTCTTTAAGCGAGCAACATCAGCGGCGGCAGCAATGTGGCCGACACTTCATTAACGTGGCCCTTTGGCTCTTGGCCAGTTTAATGATCAGCAGCTGCGGCTGCACTTGATCACAGCTGCCGCTGGGCAGCTACCAACTTGCATTTAATTGCGCCCTGTGAGAAGTTCACAACATTTTGGACGCTTGCCAGCAACTCTGTGTGCGTGTGTGTGTGTGTGTGTGTGGCTCGCTTATCTTTTCACCCAAATGCCTGTGACTATGTCGCTAATCAAATTATGAAAGCCTTGCTAACAACAACAACAACGAGAACGAGAGCAACAACATTTGTGAGCAATGATGATGCGCATTGTGATAAGCATGCAACGAGAAGTTCACCTGGTCAGTCGCC